AAGGCCATGGCATTTGAACATCTGTTGCCCATGCCGGTGGATCTCCACCGCGGCAGACTTCACGCAGCAGGCCAGATTCAATCAATAGCGGCTCTGCTTGACAAGGCCACCGGCGAAGTCATCAAAAAGAAGCCCAAGGTAGTACAACCCGGAGGAGTTGCTCGTGTCTTGATCAAGCTGGAGGCAAAGGTTCCTCTGGAGCCTGGACAGCGGGTTGTCATCAGAAGCGGGGGCGAGACCATAGCTGCCGGCTTACTAGAGTAAAAGCATCATACAACAGGGTTGGGTCTACATGGAATACGGTATAATAATAGACTGGGTATATTGGAATAGCAAAACAAAACAAATGAATATTGATAGACAAAGAAAACATCAAATTCAAGTGTTGAATTGGGTACGCAATTTAGCTCTGCTGGTCCTCTCGGCGGCTGACCAGTTTCACAAGGCCGAATGCGGCAAGTGGTTTAGAAGCGCGATACCCGGCGCCTATTCCCTGCTTTGTTGATAGTACATAATGCAAAGGCCATTGCCGTGGATGCCCCGCCGAGAACGGATTACTCGCCACTGTCTTGATAGTTGTTCGTACGTGTCGACTATTTTTTACCAGGTGTATAGTCATCGTGATAATGAGTAGAGTGTCATGACAACTTGCTCATACTGTATACGAGTAGACTTCAGCCTCGCTGTGGCAAAACTACGTGGCAATGCCGCTACGATGGATGTGATTCCAACGGGCTCTGTCGAATTCTAAGCCAGTATCCACCCGGCTGTCGCCGGTTACTCCAAGTGTGAATAGATGTTCCACGGAGCACAGAATAGGGCGGGCGGCTGTTACTCGGAGAGATGAGATGATACTCGTACATGTAAGCAATAGCAACAACGTGGCCAGAACGGTTTGCCAGAACAGCTTCCCTTTCCGTTGCCGCATTGTGCCTAATAAGCCAAGCCGCCGGGTCTCCATCAATTCACGGCCGAAGCCATCTGAGTCACGTTCTCGGAATGGCATCGAATTTCTTCCGTCAGCGCGGCGTAGTGCGACAAAGGGCGAGAGGCCACATTTGCCTTGTGAGGGGCAAAATGGGGAAATAGGCTGGCGTTGGCCGTTCACAGAAGCTCCGAGTTAGGTAGGTCGGTTGTTTGGCCGGGTCTCTGGGCGCTGTCAACGGTACATTGCACACGGCAGAGTACATGACATTGGATGCAAACTCTATTGAGTATCGACACTGTGAATCATCACCAACCCTCTGGTGTAGAATACAGTGTGAAATGTGTCAGATCGCCTCGTCGCTTTGGCTCCGAAAATAAGACCCCTGTCACGTGGGGCTGAATGCTCCGGGGGCCCTGTTTGGCTCGCACAGGGACCCGTGCCTTGAACCTACCTGAAATCTGGCCTTTTTGAGCCTTCTGGACACCTCAACTTTTTCTGGGGCAATTCATAAAGTGGCTGATTGTCACCTCTCGTCTTCAACCCATTTTTTTTTCTTCTTCTCTTCAGCAAAGATACCCCCCTCATCTGGTTCACAAGCCGGCCCTGAGGACAAATAGAGCTCGCTCGCTGCGTTAGATCGCTGCGCATTTTCTTTTTTTCTCTTCCTCTTCACAGCTGCCGTATACTTTACGCGGGGCATCTAGAGATCCTCTTCACACATATTCTTCACAATGGCTCGTTCACGGAGCTCCCTGGCCTTGGGCCTGGGTCTGCTCTGCTGGATCACTCTTCTCTTCGCCCCTCTGGCATTTGTCGGAAAGGTCAATGCCAGCGATGAGGCGGACAACTACGGAACTGTTATCGGAATTGTAAGTCGACAACCCCGCCATGGGTATTTGGTGGCCGCTTGTTAACACGTTTTCTCTCCCAGGATCTTGGTACTACCTACAGCTGTGTCGGTGTGATGCAGAAGGGCAAGGTTGAGATTCTCGTCAACGACCAGGGTAACCGAATTACTCCTTCCTACGTGGCCTTTACCGATGAGGAGCGACTGGTTGGCGACTCTGCCAAGAACCAGGCCGCCGCCAACCCCACCAACACCGTCTACGATGTCAAGTCAGTTTGAGCCCTTTGAACAAATGTAACCATCTATTTAAACGAGCAAATTGCTAACCATTTCGCAGGCGATTGATTGGTCGCAAGTTCAACGAGAAGGAGATCCAGGCCGACATCAAGCACTTCCCCTACAAGGTCATTGACCGCGATGGAAAGCCCATTGTCCAGGTTCAGGTCAACGGCCAGAAGAAGCAGTTCACTCCCGAGGAGGTTTCTGCCATGATTCTTGGAAAGATGAAGGAGGTCGCCGAGTCCTACTTGGGCAAGAAGGTCACCCACGCCGTCGTTACCGTCCCTGCCTACTTCAACGTAAGTTTTCCTTTTAGTGTCTGAAAAGTAGGAGAACAAAAGAACGAGTTTGCTAACGGCTTGGTAGGACAACCAACGTCAAGCCACCAAGGACGCCGGTATCATTGCCGGTTTGAACGTCCTCCGAATCGTCAACGAGCCCACCGCCGCCGCTATTGCCTACGGTCTGGATAAGACTGATGGCGAGCGCCAGATCATTGTCTACGATCTCGGTGGTGGTACTTTTGATGTTTCTCTCCTGTCCATCGACAACGGTGTCTTCGAGGTCTTGGCTACCGCCGGTGACACCCACCTTGGTGGTGAGGACTTTGACCAGAGAATCATCAACTACCTGGCCAAGGCCTACAACAAGAAGAACAGCGTCGACATCACCAAGGATCTCAAGGCCATGGGCAAGTTGAAGCGTGAGGCCGAAAAGGCTAAGCGAACTCTCTCTTCCCAGATGAGCACCCGTATTGAGATTGAGGCTTTCTTCGAGGGCAACGACTTCTCCGAGACTCTTACCCGAGCCAAGTTTGAGGAGCTCAACATGGATCTCTTCAAGAAGACCCTCAAGCCTGTTGAGCAGGTTCTCAAGGACGCCAACGTCAAGAAGAGCGAGGTCGACGACATCGTTCTGGTCGGTGGTTCCACTCGTATCCCCAAGGTTCAGACTCTGATTGAGGAGTACTTTGGTGGCAAGAAGGCTTCCAAGGGTATTAACCCCGATGAGGCTGTCGCTTTCGGTGCCGCCGTCCAGGCTGGTGTCCTCTCCGGAGAGGAAGGTACTGAGGAGATTGTCCTCATGGACGTCAACCCCCTGACCCTCGGTATCGAGACCACTGGCGGAGTCATGACCAAGCTGATTCCCCGCAACACCCCCATCCCTACCCGCAAGAGCCAGATCTTCTCGACTGCTGCTGATAACCAGCCCGTCGTCCTGATCCAGGTCTTCGAGGGTGAGCGTTCTATGACCAAGGACAACAACATCCTGGGCAAGTTCGAGCTTACTGGCATCCCCCCCGCTCCCCGTGGTGTTCCCCAGATCGAGGTTTCCTTCGAGCTTGACGCCAACGGTATCCTCAAGGTCTCTGCCCACGACAAGGGCACCGGCAAGCAGGAGTCCATCACCATCACCAACGACAAGGGCCGTCTCACCCAGGAGGAGATTGACCGCATGGTCGCCGAGGCCGAGAAGTTCGCCGAGGAGGACAAGGCTACCCGTGAGCGCATTGAGGCCCGTAACGGTCTTGAGAACTACGCTTTCAGCCTGAAGAACCAGGTCAACGATGAGGAGGGTCTTGGTGGCAAGATTGACGAGGAGGACAAGGAGACTGTAAGTTGAAACCCAACACACCATCACTCTTATATGATTGCCAGTTGCTAACATTCAACTAGATCCTTGACGCTGTTAAGGAGGCTACCGAGTGGCTCGAGGAGAACGGCGCCGACGCCACCACCGAGGACTTTGAGGAGCAGAAGGAGAAGCTGTCCAACGTCGCCTACCCCATCACCTCCAAGATGTACCAGGGCGCTGGTGGCTCTGAGGACGATGGTGACTTCCACGACGAACTGTAAAAAAATTGCATAGATGTTTATCTTTTAGAGGAACCAAAAGAAGTTCCCTGGTGTTATCGTCGGTTATGACGCGGATATGTTTTTAGTCTAAAAAAAATATGAATGCAACTTTGCAAATGTAAAGCGAATGCATATACTCCGTATTGAACCTTGAATTAGTAGACTATGTCTGTGATATAATGTGAAGGCCTGTGTTACATATACTAACACTTGATCGAGAGGTAGAATGTCTGCGTAGAGGCGTATTGAGATGATTATTGTGAACTTGTATAGGTAGTCATACAGTTGCTAGCCGATGGAAATACATTGCTATTAAAGCTATTCGAAAAAGCTGTATGTCTCTTCCATCGCGCCCCTTTTGTATTTTGCACTTTACGTTGTCATGATAGTGCACACACCATCAACAATGCCAAAGATATATATGGCTAGATACAAGTATTGTTTCGTAGTGATAAGAGCTGCTAATGGAATTATTCTGTTAATTTACAAGTCATGTTAGCTACAGCAGGCGTAGTGCTCGTTATGCTAATTCACATGGAAGTCATACTCGCTATAGCAGGCGTGGTGTTTGCAAGTTACACAGGCGGCAGTGAATAGAAGTACGTATATACGTCGCGCCTATATCTTCGAGCAGCCAGGTGACTCGCAGCTGGAAAATTCTCTACCTTCCACCACGGCCAAATCTCATTCCATCTGTGGCACAAGGCGATTTCGCATTGTGCACGAGGGAAAGATTTCGGTTTCCTACTCGACAGGAATTTGGGGTGCGCGTGGAAGAAGAGAGAGAGAGAGAAAGTTAACAACGAGAGTCGGTATTTGAGATATCGTCGCTTGGACTCTTGAAGAGGATCACGGGCATAGCTGTTACCACAACCTCGATCTCTCTATCTTCACCATTATTGCAGAATCACGTCTTTTCAGGAGCGAAGCACCACGTTCGCCCTCCTGACTAGCTGACGCAGCCAACGTCTCGAGTTATCATCGCAGTGACTCGAGGAAAATATCCGCAAGAAACGAGCGACCGAGAGCTAGAGAGCTGCACAAAGATATTTCAGGCTCCATCGTCGACCAGACTTCAACAACAGACAACATGGCTGATGATACGCAGAACAATGACCGTCTCACTCTGGATGAGGAATCCGCACCACGCACGGTAAGTTGTATTTTCCTGTGTTGACTCTGTGCAGATATATTACAGGGAACAAACACTTACTCGAGATCATGCTTGTAGGCTAGTCGAGCGAGTGACATTAGCTCGCTGCAGGACACCATGGATCTGGGTGACCCTGTTGCGACAGCTCCAAAATCTCGGCATAGAAAGACTGCTGGCGCCAAGAAGGCTATCGAAATCACGGAAGATCAAGAAGACGATAGCCAGGAACAGCTGGTGATGAACCTCCTCGACATGGTTGCAGATGCTACTCCAGATGAGTTGGTCACTCGACAGGACAAGATGACAAGCACCTTGCTTCGCCTCAAGGAACTCCAAGACCAGCAACCACCCAAGGTCTCGTTCAGCCCATCCATTGCCAATAGCTGCCGTGAGCGCCTCGAGGGTGTGCTCATCTACCTCACCTCTGAGCTCTCGGCCATACCGGCCTCTAATTGGGCGTCTTACAAGAAGAAGCTCATCAAGCTCTGCGAGTCTGAGCAGATCATCAACATGGGATTTCCACAGCGTCTCCTCAAGGTCACGGACATCATCTATCTGCCTGAAGAATTGGAAGCAATTCCCAGAGAAGAGTTTGGCAGAATGCACAGCGTGGCGAGGGTTTGTGCCACGGCTGCCCAGGCCATGGGCCCAGACGGCGAGAATACGGACGGCCTGGTGGAGAAGTGGATTAGTGCCAAGGTGCAAGATCTTGAATTCTTGAAGAAGATGTTTGGCTCGATGCGAAACACCTTCAAGACCTCTGGGCTTGAGAATTCGATGATGCCTTGGGAGAGGCAGGGTTAAGTCCGGGAAATGGTGAGCGAATCTAAGGATTTGCATGGATTTATACGGTGATCTTGGTATCGGGGTGATGGTGGCTAGATTTCGGCCTACCGACGTACTGGAACAAGTTTCCGAAGATATTTCACCGTATAATCACTAGTATTCGTCGATTAGAGAGAAGAATGAAAAATTCGCACTCTCGCTCTCGTTCACCCGAAGCTGCGGTGACTTTGTATGACTTTGTATGAATCCATTACAGGCAGCTTGTCATATAAAATTCTGTCACGTGATAGCGCGGAGGCAGCTCATATCTACGACGCGCTGTCGCGCCATGGATGACGAATGACGACATCGAATCAGCTCTTCACAAGGGCGGCAGCAACAAAAGGCGTTTCTTGTGTCTTTCTTCCTCATCATAGCAAAACATTCAGTCATGCCTGCTGCGAAACGATCTGCTCCTAAGCAGGAGGCTGCTGGTACGCGCCGGCGATCTGGCCGCTTATCTAGCACGCAGGTGAAGAGCGCCTACTTTGAAGGTTCAAGTGATGATGAGGAAGAAGAAGAAAAGGCAGTTTCTGGACGCAAGAAGCGTGCAATTCAGCCAAAGAAGCGGGCTAGACACGCAGAGAGCGAATCCGAAGGAGAGCAGTACAAAGAAGAGTCGGAGGAAGAAGCAGAAGTACAACCGAAAAAGAGATCCCGTGGACGTCCTGCTAAGAAAGCCAAAGAGGAGTCTGATGAGGACCAGTACAATGATGTGCCTGAAGACGAAGACGATAAGGATGACGAGGATGATGAGGATGATGATGACGGACCGAGAAAGGTTACGATCATCCCATTGGAGAAGATGAGAGATACGGGAGGTGTGGAATACGAGGACCATAAGGTACACAAAAACACTATGCTGTTTCTCAGGGACTTGAAGGCGAACAACAAGAGGCCGTGGCTTAAGGGTGAGTGTTTCGAATACTCTAGCGTCCCGATATCTAGCTTCACATCGACTGATGCAGATTACTACAGCACACGATGGAGAGTACAGAAGAGCGTTGAAGGATTGGCAGTCGTTTGTCGAAGCGACAACGCAGACGCTTATTGAAGTCGACGAGACCATCCCCGAATTGCCCGCCAAGGACGTCATATTTCGCATTCACCGTGATATTCGCTTCAGCAAAGATCCCACACCATACAAGGTACGCACTCTTCATTCCAACGTCCTCCAAAAGACTCTCTTCTCACTCTCAATTTTAACATAGCCTCACTTTTCCGCTGCGTGGTCTCGCACGGGTCGCAAAGGTCCCTACGCGGTGTACTACATTCATTGCGAACCCAAGTCCGCCTTCATCGGCGGCGGTCTCTGGCATCCGGAGGCGGCGTACCTGACGAAGCTGCGGCAGAGCATCGACGAAAGGCCTCAGAGGTGGCGCCGAGCCTTTGCTGACCCGCTCTTCAAGAAGGAGTTTTTCCCTTCAGTCAAGGACAAGGATGGGATCGAGGGCGTAGTCAAGGCTTTTGTGGCGAAGAATCAAGAGAATGCTCTGAAAAAGAAACCAATGGTATGTCGTTACGGTGCCTTGTCATTTTGCTGCATTCTCCCACGATTCTAACTAATGGCTGATTGACTGTCGATTACTAGGGCTACGAAGTCACACATCGCGATATAGAGCTCCTCAAGCTCCGAAACTACACTGTCGGGACCAAGATTGACGACGATCTGCTAAGTAGTGATAATGCGCAGGCAAAACTCAAGGAGATACTGAGGGGCCTGTCTGGTTTTGTATGTCTTTTCTATTCGCTACATTTGATCTATCGTCTTTCTCCGTCCAATTTTGAATACATGCTAACTGTGGCTTAACAGGTTACTTTTCTTAATAGCGTTGTTATGCCTGATCCTAATCTCGACGACGATGAGAGTGATGATGAAGACGACGAGGGGGGCGAGGAGCAGCATAGCGGTGACGAAGAAGAGGACGAAGAATAACTGAGTAGCTGTTTAATGCTGCAATTTGGCTAACTTGCGCGAATGATGTATCATACATGTTTACAAATGCAGGGATGGCGATGCATTTATATTTTAGAGGACAACTGGATATATGGCTCAATCTGACAGGCTGCATGTTGTCTGAGCAACAGAAACAAGCAAGCAATTCACCTATCTTATCGTGCACAGTCCCTGTCGAAATCTCACTGGCCAAGCTCCTAGTCGACATGGATGAAACCAAGGGAACAAGCTCCCAGTTCAATCAAAACCATCATGCAGTACCGGTTGGCATGGGAATCATTCGTGCTGCAAATGACATGGAAACACAGCGGTCTCACCGCATTTCTCTCTCCAAGGCAGCAGTCAAAAACTCCCAAGCAGCAAGCGTGAGACCAGGAGCGTCACTCAGTGGGGGCCACACAACTCTCGGCAGAAGGCGATAGCTGACGCCGAGTCGGACGATGCCACCCAAACTCAGCCAGACAAAAGATGGATGTCGCCGAAAGGCACCGGTAAAACGGCCCGTTGTCGCTGTCTCCGGACTGTCCAATGGTAAGATGGATAGCCCCCAAGGGTGGTGGTGCCCCCCCGCTTCCCCAAGATCGATCGCTTAGGCTCTCCGCATCTCCGGTTGATCCTCAAAGGTTGTTGCTGAGAAAAAGGTCATAGGTCTAACAGGCTATTAGCCGCAGGTGCACATGGCGTGTTTTAAGGTGATGTTGTCCAACGATCTTTGTCTTTAGCTCTTTCGTGGGGGACCCCGAGAGATAAGTAACAAATCGCATGACATAACGTCGTCCTGGATGTCTTGGGATTCGTCGCCCGCAAGTGTCAAGGGTACATCTTGTGTTCCTGAATTTTGACACGTTCATCACAAGATGTCGTGTTTGCCCTGGTTCAGCCATAGCGCACGTCAAAGTCCGAGCGGACCCCAGGATTGGAGAGTTTGTTATCTGTTAGTGGTGCAAATGACTGTGCGCGCGTGGCGGCGTCCGGCGTGGTTGAACGAATGCGGCCATGAGGCACACGGCTTACTGAGGGGTCGCGGTGCGTAGCTAAACGTCATATAAGAGACTGTTCGACTGTCTTCTCGTTGAACGAGGGTTAGGAGCGTTTTCTGATATAAGCTCGCGTTCTGTTGTGTCTGCTCTGCTCTCTTCACTTACACACAATTGCTAAGTGGACGTTCAAATTTTGATAATATACATGTGCTGATGTCCGGTGGTTGAGATCATCGCACCTTTGGTTGAATATAATTACTTTGAAAAGAAAATAAAACAAGAATGACCCCAATTGCAACGAGCAATGGCGCCGCCAGAGGTGTTGCCGAAGGCAGACCTCGTATTCTCATCCCAGAAAAGGTTTCACCAGATGGCATGGCAATGCTGGAGCCGCACTTTGACGTGGACGTCAAGCTGGGCATGACGCCGGAGGAACTCATTTCTCAGATTCCTGGGTACCATGGTTTAATCGTCCGGTCCGAGACCAAAGTAACGGAAGAAGTTCTTCTCGCTGGCAAGAAGCTCCGCGTGGTGGCAAGAGCCGGTGTCGGTGTTGATAACATCAACGTGCCAGCGGCAACCTCGCGCGGCATCATTGTCGTCAACTCGCCTTCGGGGAACATCCTCGCTGCTGCGGAGCATACGATAGCCTTGCTGCTTGCTACTGCTAGGCATATTGGCAGGGCAGATGGAAGCTTGAAGCAGGGCGGCTGGGAACGGAGCAAGCTCGTCGGCATCGAGGTTGGACGGAAAATCCTTGGCATTGTTGGGTTGGGCAAAGTCGGGATGAATGTGGCACGAATGGCAAAGGGCCTTGGCATGCAAGTGATTGCGGTCGATCCCTATGCGAACCCGGACATGGCACGTCAGGCGGGTGTTGACTTGGCGTCCAACTTGAAAGAGATCCTACCTGTTGTGGACTTTCTCACTATTCATACGCCACTGCTAGCAACGACGCTCGATCTTGTCGGCGAAGAAGAGTTCAAGTTGATGAAGAAGACTGCGAGAGTGCTCAATGTTGCTAGGGGAGGAGTATACAATGAAGCGGCGTTGGTCAAGGCCCTCGACGAAGGATGGATTGCAGGGGCTGGAATCGACGTCTTTACTTCAGAACCTCCAAAGCCAGACTCAGCGGCTGGACAGATAACCAAGCATCCCAAAGTCGTGGCCACGCCTCACCTGGGAGCCTCTACTGTCGAGGCACAGGAAAACGTATCAATAGACGTGTGTACACAAGTGCTCGAGATCTTACGAGGCGGCCTTCCCACCAGCGCCGTCAACGCGCCAATCATTCTGCCCGAGGAGTATCGCAAGCTCCAGCCGTTTGTGCAACTAATTGAGAAGATGGGGCGTCTCTACACGCAACACTTCGTCAGGACCAAGGGAGGGCTGGTCGGCGGCCGCAACTTTGAGCTGATCTATCACGGCGACTTGGCGGGAATGTCCAACACGAAGCCGCTGTACGCAGCGCTGGTCAAGGGGCTGGTTGCATCGTTCAGCGACTCCCACGTCAACATTGTCAACGCGGCGCTGATTGCCAAGGAAAAGGGCATCAAAATTAGCGAGACGCACTCGCACCAGCCGGGCGAACAGACGTATGCGAACTTGGTGACACTGAGAGCAGCACACGCAGAGGACGGCAGCGGAGAGCAAATCATTGAGGGATACGCCTCGGGCAAACGGTTGTACATCTCCAAGCTGGACCGGTTCAATGCAACGTTTACTCCTGAGGGGACGATGATCTTCCTGCACAATTATGACGAGCCGGGTAAGATTGGAGGCGTGGGCATGGTGCTGGGCTCTCACGGGATCAATATTAGGTTCATGCAGGTCGCCAGCTTAGACGAAGATTCGAAGCAAGCTGAAGCGGATGCGATGAGAAAGGGAAACGAGGCTTTGATGATTTTGGGAATAGACAGGCTGGTGGATGAGGAAGTGATGGAGGGATTGCGTAGGTCAGAGGGAGTGCTGGATGTGGTGTTGGTGCAGCTGTGATTCTTTTATCTTATCGATTAGCCATTGATGATATAACTCGCTTCAGCTTCAAGTTTGGCGTCTATATTGCTGCTTTTGGGTTGGTTTACATGAGAGAGACATTGGAGAGCAACAGCACGAATCAAGCATAGCTTAAATACTACTCTATTTAGTGGTCCCATTTTGAATCAACTGCTTACAATGCGATTGATGCGCTGCCATGCTGGACAGTGGAATGGGGAGCGAGTGTGTTTCAACCAAGCAGAAACACTGAGCTCTTATTAGAGGGCATACACATTGATGGACAGGTACGTACAGTGTACATCGGCCGTAGTGCGCTCTACAGCACATGCTGCCGTACTGCCGAGCGTGGGGCCGCTTTTGGCGCAGGAACCAGGCCAGTCGTCATTGGCGCACGGTCCACTGGATTCCACCGAGGCCGCTAACCTTCCAGCGGCCCACAGGGCTCGAGCGTCCAAAAGCTTCCCGAGAGTTGCGCTGTGTCTGGCTTGAGCTCCGAACTTGGACCTTTCCTGCTGTGCAGAACCAAAACTTTCTCATCCATTCCCAAAACCTCGCGAGGTTGCGCAAGGGCTTTGGAACCCCCCGCGAGGCATCGACATCGGCCCTGACGGACGAGCTTCTCTTTTTCATTCTCACTCTTCTGCTTCTTCTATTTCTTGGTCATTGATTCCTTCGGCTATTCGACATCGTCATCGCGTTTCTGGCGACATCATACGCTACGACAGTCCGCCCGCGACCGTCAGCAGCCAGTGACTGCGGGTCCTCTTTTTTCAATCGCAACACCAGACGTGCCTTCACCAGGACAATTGGTCGGACATTTGACAGCCTCGATACCGGCGGTCTACGCATTCATCGCTCGATCCGAGCCAGCCAAAGATTAATCCTGCTATGCCGAGGAGAGGAGCAACCGGAGGGCTTGCCAGCTTCCGCCCTGCTGTCCTCGGCCTGGGGCGAGTGCTCGGTCTCTGCTTGACGGCTTCAGCAGCGCCAGTGTCGTCCTTGGCGGCGCCTGACCATCATGACACAAACACTCCTGTGTGGGTGCTGGCGGTCTCGTCGATGACGCTGGTTCTCCTAGGCGGTGCCTTTGCAGGCTTAACTATCGCGTACGTTTGTCTCAAACTCAAATATGCGAGGCATGCGAAACTGACATTGCGGCAGATTGATGGGCCAAGATTCCATTTACCTCCAGGTCCTATCCGGCGACCCCAACGAACCGCAACACAAAAACGCAAAACGAGTCCTCACGCTGCTCAACCGCGGAAAGCATTGGGTGCTCGTCACCCTGCTGCTCGCCAACGTCATCGTTAACGAATCGCTTCCTGTGGTGCTGGACCGCTTCTTGGGCGGCGGCGTTGCCGCTGTTGTGGGTAGTACAATTCTTATCGGTGAGCACCCCTGGCCTATCCTTGTCGTTTATTCTTGGTTTGCTTCCGTTGCCGCGTGTCCGAAAACTGACCTTGGCCGCAGTCATTTTTGGTGAAATCGTGCCTCAATCGGTGTGCGTGAGATATGGCCTACCTATTGGCGGATACATGTCCACGCCCGTCTTGATTCTCATGTACCTCTTGGGCCCTGTAGCATGGCCCACCGCGAAGCTGCTCGATTGGATTCTAGGAGAGGATCATGGCACATTGTACAAGAAGAGCGGCCTCAAGACGCTTGTGACGCTACACAAGTCTCTTGGCGAAGTGTCGGAACGATTGAACCAGGATGAAGTCACCATCATCACCGCCGTTCTAGATCTCAAAGATAAGCCCATATCGGAAGTCATGACGCCTATGGACGATGTATTTACTCTTGCCGAGGACCATGTCTTGGATGAGGCCACCATGGATATGATACTCTCTTCCGGATACTCGAGAATTCCAATCTACCGCGCAGGCAAACCGACCGACTTTGTAGGCATGCTTCTCGTCAAGACGCTCATTACGTACGATCCCGAGGACCGGATTCTGGTTAGAGACGTGCAATTGGGAGCTGTTGTGGAAACACGCCCCGAGACGAGCTGTTTGGATATCATCAACTTTTTCCAAGAAGGCAAATCGCACATGGTGCTGGTCTCTGAATTTCCCGGTTCTAACCACGGTGCTCTCGGTGTCGTCACTTTGGAAGATGTTATTGAAGAGCTTATCGGAGAGTGAGTAGAGTAGATGGGACTTTAGTTTCCCTTGTCCCCTCCCCCCTTCCCTGTTCTTATCTTTTTTCCGACTATTTGCGGCGCATTTTTGGTTACTGACGGGAGATATGCAGGGAAATTGTTGACGAATCAGATGTCTACGTCGATGTACACAAGGCCATTCGGCGTTTGACCCCTGCTCCCCGAGCTCACGGTAGACATAGCGACGTGCCAGGCGCGGGTGTGGCAGTTAGGAAGACGCCAGACCATGTCAGCAACCATAACCGTAAGCATGTAGAAGGTCAGGATGTCGAAGTCGGCTCCTACAAGAGCGACTCGGGCCACCTTGAGCGGCCTCCCAAAACTGCCGTATTTATGAAGCGCCAACACTCTGCAGGACCCGACGGTCGCATCGGGAAGAATCCCGTACCTGTGAAAGCTTCACTCGATGAGATGCGACAGCAGCTGAAGCTTGGCCCTGCGAACCGCGCAGCGAACCCGTTGAGCAGCACGCGAGGAAGCGTATTCAAGATCAAGCAGGGTTTAGGAACGACGGTGGTGACAACCACCACCCCTGACGCAAAGGTGACTGGTGTCGACACAGAGAGCACGGAGGAGCACAATGAAAACACGCCGTTGCTGGGCAAGGGCCAGAACGGTGCAAGCGAGCGGCGGTGATACGAGTTGCGGATTCCAAGAGTGCATGGAACAGGAGGAAATACGATGGAGAATGGATGATGTCAAAAAGAAGAAAGAGGGCACTGACGGAACCAAAAATGTTATACTGGTCACTGAGTCGCAAAAAGTGCAGTCTCCATTTTCACTATTTATATGTTAGCGTTTTGAAAGGGTTCGGATGCTGGTCCTCGATACAGAGAACACAGGCCCTTGTTCTCTTTTATTTCAATATTACATGTCTCTTTTATATGGTCTACGTCTTTTCCTCCTCTTCTTTCTTTGGTCTGGACTCTATTATTCTATAACCTTGGAATTGTCCAACTCTTTTCTTCTTCCTCCTCTCTCTCTCTCTTTCGTCATGTCTAATCATACCAAATAGCATTCATGCCGAATCCCGGCTCCGGGACACGCACCCTCGCAACGCGCGCCAGAAACTCGTCCTGCCACCGGTATATCTCCAGCCACCCATCTTGATCATCGGTTATGGCCACCCACTCGTCGGACCAGTCGCTGGGCGCAACGGCGTTGCTGTGCCCGCCGCTAGTAGGCGTGGGATTCAGACAAATCTGGCGCTCGATGGCGCCGCTATCGGCCAGCTTGAATGCGGCGACGTAGCCCGTCAGGTCGAAGCTATTTGCGCGGGACGAGGCGAAGAGGTACTTTCCCGAGTATGAGAGTGCGCAGACGTCGGCGCGGTACTGGGTCCAGCGGTCGGGGATGCCGGGGGGGATGAGCGGGTAGTGGCGGTGGGTGAAGACGGGCATGTGAGTAGTCGGGTCGATGAGGTACTCGCAGATGCGGTTGCCCTTTTCCATGAGGGCGTAGAGGTAGGATCCCGAGGGGTGGATGGCGACCCAGCGCGGGTGGTCGCGCGGGTCGGGGCATTCGACGGAGCCGGCGAGCGTGAGCTCGGGGGAGGAGGCGTCGAGCCTCTTGTGGACCCAGAGCTTGTTGGCCTTGAGGTCGGCGGAGTAGAGGTACGTCTCGGTCGGGTCGAAGACCATGCCGTGGATGCCGCTGTCGGACTGGTACTCGTAGTTTTGGACGTTGTTGGTGAGGGCGCCGGAGTTGGGGTCGGTGGTGAAGACGGAGCCGTGGCCGGCGTGCTTGTAAAAGGGGTTGCAGTAGACTGCGTAGGGGGGCTTGCGGGCGGGGAGGAGGAAGATTGCGCGGGTGTTTGTTTCGGAGGATGCGGCGAGGGCTTTTTTTTTGTTATTGTGTTAGATGATGAGTCTGAGGATATGAGTTGTGTATAGGTAGCTATATGAGATGTGAGACGTACGGTGGTGAAGCATGGGGTGAGACGCTTGGTGGATAATGTCGGTGGGAGAATTGACTTTGAAGCTGGACCATTTCTTCATGGCGGCACCGTAGATGGCTTTCTTCTCATGCTATTGTACAGAATCTTATTGTCAGTATATTATCTTGATAGAAAATAAAAGCTGGGAGCTGTACTAACGTCGAAAGCCATCCACGAGATGGGCTCATCCTGGGCTATCTCGGTGCGCGCAACGAGCTTGAGCGTCAGAGCCTCGTCGTCGAATGCAAACGTGAAGATTGCGCCAGGAGGCGTCCACGTGCCGACCATGAGGTGATGGACCGGCATCTTGGGCAATTTCCTATGGTGTTGTCGAGCTTGGTGTGAGAGTTGAAGAGCGGGACGAGGATGAGCTGAGACTGAGAGTGAGTGTCTGGAGGTGGGATTGTGAAAGAAGAACCGTGTGCAGGAGCCGAGATTGCGATGACAAAAGAAAAGAGAGCGTGATGGCTTCATCTGCACATGACGTTTGAAGCTGGCAACTGGAATCAATAGCCCAAACGGGGTGTCATGGTAGTAGTATCAATGGATACATTGGATAGTAATTGCTTGTCAATATTCTCCAGGTCCAGGATATTCCTTTACCCCCCCGGTGCCTGCATCATCATCGGCTTGCTACTCCAACAAACCCCCAAAAATCCCGAAGCTAGTGCCGCTCTCCCCCTCCAAAACACTTAGCGCCGCCATATCCGAGGCGCCGAATTGTAATTAACGAAAAAAAATCATACCATAGGAAAAGAAAAGCCCGAGTGACTTAGTATTGGAAACACGGGCATTGGATGGTTGCCGCGCGCTGGATCCGGAGAACAGAAAAAATCGCGGGGCAAAAAAAAGAAGAGCTACATAGAAGAAAATGTGGGGGAGTAGCGCTAGAGGGGTTGGAAGTGAGGGGCTTTTGCCGCCGGTTTGTAGGTTCGGTAATTGATTGGGGTGGAATGGGAATGGCAGGGCCGGGTAGATAAAGGATGTAGCCGTGAAGGGGGCCGGAAGGGGAATCCGGAGGGAGTGGGATGGGAATTTGATGGTTGAATTAGTGGGAGTTTAGCTGAGTTTGAGGAGATTACAGTGAAGTTGAGAGAGAATTAGTTGCCAAGTAAATGACATGTAAAAGTAATTAGAAAAGTTGAAGCAAAAAGACAGAAAGAAGAGAGGCAAGAAATGTCGCGATATGTTCTGTACATGATTCTATCTAGGCAAAGCCCAGGTACCTGCAAGTATGCAACCCACCCCTGCAGCCAACCTGCGGCAATACCCAGGAGATACAGTGCAGTACGGCTGTTCCGCGCCTCGTTTCGCTCGCTAATAACGAGTCCCGACATCAGCTCCCGGACATGCTTTCCGTCGTTTTGGGGTCCCAGTCTTAAGCTAGGGTCCACTGACGACGGGGTGGCGCGGGATTGGGGGAGACAGAGAGACAAAGCCTTTATCCGCCTGGGGGATGATGATGGCATGTGAGATCAAGTGGGATGAATACGGAGATGCTGCTGTGCTGGATTAGTCGTATTACAGCTGTTAGACACACTAATTCGAATAACTATTACGGAGCAACTATATACTACTTCCATCTGTCCATTCTCTTATATATATCTCTCGATGGATGCCATTTCCCGTCCATTCCCATCCATCTCACCATCTCTCACACACCTCACTCATCCTTTCTAAGATAGACTCTCCTAATACCTTGGTATATATATATAGCAGCTGCATCCTCTCTCTCTCTCTCTCTCATCTTATAACTTCAACCTCACCTTATCTACATCTTCCTCTCATCACTACCAAAATGGCCACCAACGGCACCACCAATGGCACCAACGGCCAGAGCAGCCGCTTCGACCCGACTTTCACGCAGCGCGTCATCGACACCATGGGCCCCAACATGACGCCGCGCAACCGCGAGGTCATGTCTTCCCTGCTGCGGCACCTGCACGACTTTGCGCGTGAGGTCGAGCTGACGGTGGACGAGTGGATGACGGGCGTGCACTTTATCAACGCTGTGGGCCAGATTTCGACCAAGACGCGCAACGAGGCGCACCGAGTGTCGGATGTGCTTGGTCTGGAGTCGTAAGTCTTTGTAAACCTCTTGTACAACAACACCCCAAACTAACACCATCACAGCCTCGTTGATGAAATCGCCAACAAAATCGTGGCAGAGGGCGACGTCGACCCGACCTCGTCCTCCATCCTCGGCCCCTTCTGGTCCCCCAACGCCCCCTTCCGCGACAACGGCGCCTCCATCATCCAGGATCCCAACCCCTCGGGCCGCGTCGCCCTCATGCACGGCACCATCACCGACCTGCTGACCGGCAAGCCCATCCCCAACGCCGTCTTCGACATCTGGCAGGCCAGCGCCAACGGCAAGTACGACTTCCAGGACCCGGAGAACCAGACGCCCAACAACCTGCGCGGCAAGTTCAAGGCCGACGAGAACGGCAAGTATTGGTTCTACTGCTACCATCCCACGGCGTATTCGCTGCCTACCGATGGGCCTTCGTATAAGCTGCTGTCGCTGATGGACAGACATCCTATGCGCCCTGCCCACATCCACATCATGGTGAGTTTCATTTCCTGGATATATATAAAAATAAAGAAATCAGTATAAAAAGAGGCTAACACCGCTATCAGGTCACTCACCCCGAGTACAAGGGCTGCACCACCCAGCTCTACCCCAAGGACGACCCCTGGTTGGCCACCGACACCGTCTTCGCCGTCAAGGACGACCTCATCATTGACTTTAAGCCCCTCAAGGGCGACGACAAGGCCGAGCTGGATCTCGAGTACAACGTCGTGCTGGCGCCCAAGGGATACAAGGGCAAGCAGTTCTAAAAGTAAAGTAAAGCAAGAAGCAAAGAGGGGAAAGAAGGGACAGTTTAGCGATGAATTTTCTTGTTTGTTTTTCTTTTGTATGATGTATAATGAAAGAATTGCGCGCGCTGGATATGGGATTGTAAGCAAAGACGAAAGAAAGAAGAAGACGATTAGCTGGAGGGGGAAATCATGTGTATTATGTATGGAGGTTTATGGCATATTCACCTACCTACCTGGGTCAATCTGCTCAGGCTGCATAGACTGCAATTGACAAATTAATTCCATCCTTTTTTTTTCTGAGTCTGGATGCATTTAAATGGTGATATAGTAGTAGTGCTTTATACATCTTTTTGACAGAAAACCCCTTGCTCAGAGCAAATCGACTCTTATGCTGTTGGTTTGCTGCTTGCATGCATGCAGATTGCAGTAGAGACGTGAGGCATAGGTACATGTACATGAAGCGCAATGACATGTCAGTTAATGGCTGAGTCAAGGCATTACATATCAATGAGAAATAGTACGAAATTCACTCTTTTCTTGCTTCTTTAATCCTCAAGTCTTTGGACTCCATTAATCTCTGCTGTTTAACATTCTCAACGTCATGTCGGCAATCCCACTGCTCGTCTTCCCCTTCACACCCCTGCAGCTCACCCAGGAATGATAACTCACACGTGCGCCCAAAACTTGACTCAGGCATTCGTAATGTATGCCTCGCTTTTCCTTCTTCCTTGCACGGACGACCGCCGAGTATCCGCCCCCCTCTCTCTTATCTCTCTCATGCCACACATACATACGGCACAACATAGGCTACTCCGTAACATATAACATACATACATACGCACTCACTTACATATACACGTACATACATACACGCATATGCATCTCTCAAGGTTCCCTCCGTCCAATCCATCCTCAAAACGAACAAAACAGCCCCGATTGGACCATCAATTGACCAACCGTATTGTAATCGCCATGCCATGATTCCTCCTGCACGCCATTCTCACCAATCGCCTCACCTCACCCGCTCACCTCACTCGACGCAAGATAAACACAGCCCGCGCCCCCGCCATGTGACGAAAGATGCCGCTCTCAATCTCGTCACAATCACATCCAATTCCTTTCCTCATTTTTCCCTTTTCCTTCTCTTCTTTTCTTTATATTACTATACATGTACTCACCCCCCTCTCACACAAAGCCTGGACTCTCACCTCGACAAAAAAAAACCACCAAGGCAGGGATATTCACTCGTCCCAGCCTCTTCACCAGCCTCTCTCTCAAACTTCCCTGTCCAAAACGTACATCATAGCCCACACACCAAAGGCGAAAAAGAAAAAAGAAAACCACCAGCGTAGAAGTTAAAACGGCTCTACGGAAGACATACCGCATCATCCGACTGGTCCATCCACACACCACATGTCATATGAAGAAAGTTTCCCAGATTCCAAGGAAGAAAAAAGACCTCAATTCTCCACCGCAACCAAGAAAAAAACACATGCACAAGTCACCGTCCCTTTTTTTTTTTTGCTTTTCCCCAGAAACCGGCACATCTTTCTTGCTGCATGTCTCACCTACGCACCCTCTCTCTCTGGCCGCCACGCGCCGCAACGCCAAAAACGCCGCCAGGGAAAACCCACCCGCAGCCCCGGCGCAGCACCGCCCCCGGTTCCGCGTTGTTTCGAGTGTTCTAGCCTCCCAAAAGCACGGGCAGCTTAGCACAGCTCATAGCACAGCTCAGCTGTAGTTGTAGTGTAGTTCCGGACTCGTATATTCTGTACTTACAGCAAAACGCACCTTTGTATGTCCTCGTCCAGCAGAAGCTATCCAGACCAGGTACACAAAAAAAGGTCCCTACGCACATGTACATGCCACCAAGGATGCCTCTAGCACTAGCAGCCAAAGTAAAAATCCACGTACTACTGCACAAGACCCCAAAATGCTTGCATGCCCACCAATACACCCCGGTCACACCTCTCCCCGTTTCCCCGGCAACCGCCTCCCCCACATCAACAACAGCCCGCCACTTCCAACCCCCCCAGCACCAGCCCAGCAAAGCAAATCCGACCGCGCGACTCCCTGAAAGGTCGGCGCTCCCCTAAAGGAACCTCCCCAATTACTCCACTTGACGCAATGCCCGTACTCTTGCAAAAGAACATGTAGGCGCAAGTCAAGGCAAGACAAGGTTGGTCAAAAAAAAGGGTCACCCCGACAAAAAGAGAGAGCGAGAGAGACACAAGCAAACAGCCTTCCTTCCTTTCTGCAATGCCGCGTTGCCTTTCGTAGCTTCGAGGCATCCCCTTTCGGCGCGCTTTCTTCCTTTTTGCTTGTGCTTCCGTCATCCTTCCAACTCATCAAGCTATCATCAAATTCCCCTTTCTGGCCCGTCAAGGGCTTCTTTTTGTTTCTTTCTTCTCTTCTTCTTCTTCTCTTCTTCTCTTCTTCTTAGCTTTTGTCGCGTCATCGTCATCATCGTCATCATCGTATCAGCCGGCTATACCTACCTTCCTGTATCTGTTCCACCACATTTCTTCTACTTCCACTTCTTCTTCTCCCCTCCTCGCCCAAATCCGAGACAATCAATACAATTCCTGTCTTGTTGTTTGTGTAACAGGCAGCTCTTCGCATAGGACGCCCTGGTTGTGCAACGCGGAAGCCGATACACGCACCCCAGACAGAGAGGAACAAAGGGGGGCAAAGGAAAACGAAAGGAAAGGAAATAGAGAGCCGGGTCTGCTCGACGCAGCAAGCCGGGTGCCATGGCCTCGAGCAATGGCGTCTACAACAATCCCACGGCCAACTTCAGCCCTCCGCGGCACCGATCGAAGCCGTCCGTCCTAAAGTTCATCCACCGCCGAGAGCAGTCCGCAAACGACGCCCTGCAGCTGCCCAAAGCTTCACCCCTAGAGGCCCAGTTCTCAAACATCATGCCCGTCGGCAACTTCGCCAGGCACTCACACAACCCGAGCGCGCTCGGCGAGCTGCAGCATAACCAGCAGCTGGAGCCGGCCCCTCGACCCTCCCGCAAATCGCGAGACGAACGCCGACCAGACGTCGAGCCGGCCGCCCGCGACGAATCGCCCACCAAGAAGAGCCTGTTCCTCAGCATGACCAAGTCGCGCGACTCGTCTCCGACCAAGAGCCCCAAGAAGGCGAAATCGGGAGAGAAGCTCACCGGTCTTCTCGGCCGACCCAAGACGATCAAGAGCCTGCACAAGCTGGTGACGGACGGCGACGACGGAATACAGTCGGGAAAGGATAAGGAAAATAGAACGCCGGATGAGCCGCGCAGTGCCACCCTGCCAGTTTACGCCCAGTTCGCCAGCAATGAGTCCATGAATTCTCTCGCGCCCCCCAGCCCAACTAGAAGTTCGAGGAATTCCTCTGAGAGACGTTCAATGGCAAAGGAACGACCGCGTACTTATATGCATCCCACCAGGTCACAGCAGGACATTAAGAAGTCGTCCATTAAGTCGGAATCGCCTAGTGGGTCAAAGTCGGCATCGTCAAAGGGCAAGTCCATTCGCGAACGAGGCAAGGTCTTTGGCGCCTTTGCTAGCTTCGGTCATGGCCGGTCCAAGTCAGAGACGTCGACTCCCCGAGGCGGCTCGCCCACGACAGCAGGCCACGTCCTCGACCTCAAGGACATCAACAAGCAGCTCGAGGCACTCCTAGATCGTCGAAATATCCCAGAGAACCAGCGCTACAAGATGCGGAACCTGAGCGATACCATCAAGATGGAGTTTATCAGACAGGACTGGGCCGAGATGCGAGCCGCCAAATTGGAGCGCAAACAGGATCGTCCACGAACCAGCCTCAGCAGTAACAACACTAACGGTGCTTCTGCTACTGCTGCCTCCTCCTCTTCCGCCGCCGCCGCCGCCGCGAAAGACTCCGCCGTCGTTTCCGATGAGGAGGAGGAAAAGCCGAAGCGGAATCGCGGCAGAAGCTTCACATTCTCTCGAGCGAAAAAGGAAAAGGAGCAGCAGCAAGGCCGCTCAACGTCAAAAGCCCGCTCGTCTTCAAAAGCCCGCTCATCATCAAAAAAGTCCACAAAGGGAGAGAGCACGCTGGGCCGCCATTTCAGAAATAAGTCAGCCGACAGCGTGGCCAGCGATCGGCCGATTTCGAGCGGCAACTCGTCTGCTGGGAGCACTTTGCTGTCCAAGATCAAAATGCAGCAGGGCCCGGCCGACTATGTCGCGTACCTTAGAAAGGTGCGCCAACCGCAGCAGTTTGAAGTGGGCAAACTTCATAAACTAAGGCTGCTGCTGCGGAACGAGACTGTTGCCTGGATTGAAGAGTTTATCCAACACGGGGGGATGAAGGAAATTGTCGGGTTGCTGAATCGCATCATGGAGGTGGAATGGAGGTAAGTTGCCATGTCCCGTCACTGATGTTTCTTTTTTTTTTTTTTCTTTCACTCTGCTCTCTCTCTGTGTCTCTGAGACTTCATTCGTCTAACCTGATAAACAGAGAGGAGCACGAAGATGCTCTCCTCCACGAGAATCTCCTCTGTCTCAAGGCTCTGTCCACCACGGCAAAGGCCATGGAGTATCTCCACTTGGTCCAGGCGGACCTCTTCCCAAAACTATTACACCTACTCTTCGACCCGGAGAAGAAGGGCCCCAGCGAGTTTACTACGCGCAATATTGTCACGTCGGTACTGTATACGTACATCGAGTCCGCCTCGTCCGCCGAGCGCGTCATCAGAGCTAGGAGCGTCCTGAGACACCTGCGGGACCCCGAGCCGGAGGAGTCAGCTCGACCGCTGCCCTTCGTCCTGGAAATGAGACAAGACCGGCCTTACCGCGTCTGGTGCAAGGAGGTAGTCAGCGTGACCAAGGAAGTCTTCTGGATCTTTCTCCATCACCTCAACGTGGTGGCGCTGACGGGCGACCCGGACAGCTCAGGCGATGCAGGCATGGGCCGTCTTACCAACAACGACGACGAGCAGTATGCATACATGCGCCGCCATTTCCCCCAAGAAAAGGCCCCGGTGGCCGCTGCCCCTTATGTGGGCGGCGTGGAGTGGGACGCGACCAATTATCTCGCGTCTCACCTGGACCTGATGAATGCCATCCTGGCATGCACTCTGACGGCCGACGACAGGAACCGCCTTCGAGCCGACCTTCGAATTTCGGGCTGGGAGCGCTGCATGGGCGGCAGCCTGCGCCTGTGCAAGGAGAAGTTTTACGGCAGCGTCCACACTGGCCTGAGGACTTGGGTTGCCGCCGCCGCAGAGGACGGATGGGACGTCAAGGACGTGAGATACGGGCCGCCTGCTGATGCCCGGTCCCCAGTCAAGTCTGGCTCTCCGCGAAAAAAGGTTGAAGAGCCGGCACCGAAGCTCGACATGCCCAAGCTCAACTTTAGCTCAAAGAAGACACCACAGCCGCCTCCACAGGATGGTTGGTTATGAGGCAAATGATGGGAAACTGTTTTTTTTTTACGTATTTTGGAGAAGAAGATGCTCCCGTCTGCAACATGTTTGGTGGCGTGGCTCTATGTTTTCTGACGACGTAAAAAAAACAAAAAAAACAACCGCCTTCAAGGACAAAAAAAAAAATATATGCAAGAAAAAAAAAACTAAACAATCAGAGAAGATTGCCAATGGGGGTATTTTTTATTGCTGGCGTCTCACCCCCTTCTCCCTGAACTCATGGGGCAACAACGAAACCCGGTTGAGGTGGAGAAATATTGGGTAGTGGCAAGGATCATCTTTTTCTTCTTCTTTTTTTGTTCTCTCTTTTGTTGAAACATTGGGGCAAGGGTTCTTCTGTATGATTGCATGTTCATGAATTAATGACACGACTAAGCCTGCGGGCCAACTTCATCTATAGGTATTAACGAAATTTGAGCCAACAAGCTTTGCTCCCAACTCATGAGATTTAAAGATTTTTTTTTTTCGTAACCAAGTTCTTCCAAAACAGGATGCTCAGGTAAGAGTAGAAGAGGGGGAGGAGTGGAACTCCTGAATATTCTATACCATTTCAGAAGAAAACTTACCTTACCCTCGCTCTGAGCCCGCTGACTTGCTGCTCGTCTCACGCTCACCGATGTAGTTTGAACGCTTCATAGACCGACATGCCCTTCAAAACGTCCTCTTTTACCTTGTCATCCGCAGCAACAAGACCAGGTAGCAGCTCTAGAACCTGATCGATCTTATCTCGGGGAATAATCACAACTCCGTTGCCTGGGTCGCTGAAAGCAACGTCGCCTGGGTTGATTTCGACCCCATTGACCTGGACCGTCACCTGGGTCGCCCAGGGCACGCTGCCGCCGCCAGATCCTACGGTGGAGGTGCCGTAGCCCCAGATCTGCAAAGCTTAGGTTGGTGAAAAAGAGCTCGTCCCAGGGGGGGGGAAGTGTTTCAAGGAGTTGAGGGCGCCAAGGAAGAAGAGGAAGGAAGGGGGGTGCTCACATCAGGCTGCAGGGGGGCTGAGGGAGGGAACGGGGAATGATGGTGAGGGGTTCTTACAGGCAGATTGGTGCTTCTCAACTCGTCCAGGTCTCTCACTCTTCCGGCAACGATGATGCCTGTTACCTGGCGCACTTTCATCCTGAGGGCCATGATGCCGCCGCAGACTGCGTTTGTTTGACCCGGAGGCTGCTTGAGCACGGCAAAGGTGCCAGGTTCGGCCAAATCAGCCCAATGGACATCCTTGGGGATGTTTTGCGGCGGGAGGCTGCCACCGCCCTCGCTAAGGCCGGCCGGCTGCCCCTTTGGAGCAAACAAGACTGTGAATACAGGAGCGACGGTGACCCGTGACTGAGTGGCTTGGCTCGCTTGCTGCTGCGGGCTGTATGCTACGAGGTCGGCAATGTAGCCCGCGCCGGGAACTTTGAGCTTCAGCAGGGCGTCCGAGATATCACACGCCGAGTACTTTTCGAGCTGCGCAATGATGCTGGTGGAAAGCGGCGACGACTGGGACTGGGCCATGGCGTGCGTGCTATGATGTCCAATATTCTGATATCTATCGAAGGGGGATGATCTCACGTTGGCATGTGACACCAAAGCCGCCCAAATATCAAAACAAGGGCTGGCCGCTGGAAACTGACGGAGGCTTCTGCCGCCACTGCTACGGGGTCCGGGGGGATATGCAGCACCAAGTCTGGTGCTATTTACAGCAACTTTGCTGGTGAAGGGAGCTCTCCTCTCCTGTCGTGTCCTGTCCAGTCGTGTCGGGGCTTGTCTTGCCGTAGTCGGGCTGAGTCGGCCGAGTTATCGGAGCGCGGAATGCACGACTGAGAAGCACCTGAGGGGCGAGAAATAAGTCGGTGAGCGCAACCAACTCAAAGGGCCCGGGGGTGGGTTGAGGCCGGTGGTGATGCGAAGGAGAAGTGGAAATGAGATGAGCAGTTGAGGCTGGGCCAGGCCGGGTTACCTTGACCGAGTCGCCACAGACCAGGGCAAGCGGTGCAGATGATTCGTGCCTGCCTCGGGGGCTGGACGCTGGATGATGATGCCTCAGGCGGTCGGTTTTTGTGGCGAGCTAGACAGGCAGGGACGCAGGGACGCAGGGACGCAGGAAAGAAAGCAGGTAGGCAGGTAGGCAAGGCAGGCGGGCAAGGCAGGCAGGTAGGACCGGGCCAGCAAACGATGGCAGGTCGGGGGGCAGGCAGGAGCGATGGAGGGCTGGCGGGCTGAGGGAAGCATGGAACTGGAAGCGGAAATACCTAGCGGCGGCGGCAATTGGAGGAAGCGCTGAGGTGTACGAATACAACACTTGGTACGCGTACAGGTAAGATATAGATAGACTGTGCTGAATTGGTGCTAATAAGACATATTAACGCATACTACAGGTATAGTTAGTAGCTGGGCAGCATGTAGACGCAGCAGCTTGTCAATGAGAGTTCGAGTCGAATCGAATCCAGTCGAGTTGAGCCGTGGGCAATGCCCGGCACTGATTGTCGTCGCCAAGCGGCATGTGTCAATTGGAGCTACGTCAGTTGTTGACCGGATGGAGCTGTGGATAAGGCCAGTCCAGTCCAGTCCCATTTGCATGTGGCGTCCATACAGTACGGCTGTATGCCTACTAATACATTGAAAGTTGCAGGTAGCATTCATGTACAAGGAGTCGAGTTGCACAGCAGCCAGCCATCGGCATCTGGTGGGATGGCTGAGACACAGCACGGACGGCATGGCCAGTCTCTCAGGTTCTCCGTGCTTCCATGCCTTGTCCTCATTCTTCCATTCTCCCCCAGTCTCCGAGTCTACAGTGCCTGCAGAACAGACCAGGAGAATAAGAAAGAACCTGGACGAGAAACAAAGTCCTAAGCAAAACTAGAGTCCAGCGGCCGTTCCACGGTGGGGGTTGCAGCAGTGGGGCTTTTTCTTTCTTCTCTTCCTGACCGGAGGAGCTCAAACGGGAGCCGCCGTAATAGCCCGGGCCGCCCAATCAGGCTCCGTACCATCCCGTACGGCCTGCTGGGCCAGCATGTACAAGCACCTCTGCATATCCCCCTCTGGCTCCCCTCTGGCAGAATTCGGTGGAAGAGGGGGGCTCGATAGGCTTGGAGAGTTGTCGGGCAATCGGTCCTGCAGATGATGCCACATTGGTTACGGTTGGCCCCATGGGAGCTGCATCCAGAGTTTGTGCCTGAATTGCCTGGACGTGGGATCGAAGACCTTGCTCGTGGGGCTGATACAATACGAACATGTACAATACAGTAGCTTGATGCTCACTCTCGTAGCGACCAGACAACTACTTACCACCTGAGGCTGGGAGTGCTACCTTGGCCCCCCTTAACGAGGAGCCTTCTCGCACCAATTTGCCTGGAAGACGGGCGTGGATGGCGCTAATCGCAGGATCGTGCATTTCCCTCCTTGGAAGGCGCATATTAATGGGTGACAACAACAGCAGCAGCAGCAATATAAGAACAAGCGGAACGCCAGGGAAACGTTAATACGAGAACCGCGTGAAGGATCCTAGACATGCATGGTGAGGCTGGACACGAAGCGACTCCCCCGATTTGTTACGTCTCTCCGCGCTCCAGCCAGCGTCCAGAGTTGAGGCCAGGGCAAGGGGTAATGGAGGGTCGGCTGAAGCCAAAGCGACAAGCAAACCTCCTAGGGGAGGCGGGAGCGACGGGAGTGATGGGTTGAAGAAGCGCCCTATTGTGACCGGTGAGCTAGCAGCATGTGCGTTGGGAGATGGTGGCGGGCTGAGGGCTGGATCTGTGTGAAACGTGATGCTGATGCCGTGACAAGCCGGCGAAAAAAAGATGAGGTGTCAAGGTGTGTCGAACTTAGAACTATTGAACTCTGGCGTCTCGATCGACGATTGCAGCCAAAAAAAAAAAAAAAAAACTTGTACTTGTAATATACGAGTGTGAGTGAGCAGCATCTCGTCCATTATATCGCCTGACTTCTGCGGGATTCGTGGGCCAGTCGGAGCCTCTCCGACCCGGCGCCAGAGGGGCAGAGGCACGACTGTACGGAAGAGGCAAGGCAAGGCCTTCTGCTATATGTATTGAACTCGTCAGATGCGATAGGGGGCCCCAAATGCGAATCACAGCCTGCCACAATGACAGCGACGAGACTGGCAGAAGCAGGCAACGAAAATAGCCGTCACCGAATGGCTGGATGCTGGGGCCTCGCTTACCCTTGCGCAGCCGATACCAGGGTCGGACTAGCAGAGTAGCAGAGCTTGATGCTTGAATGTAACTGCAGATCCAGCCAACCCCAGGGCCACGTCGAGGGCATCAATGTTGCAATCTGGAGAAGCGGATAGTCGTACGCCCAGCAGCAGCAGACCAATGGCCCCAAGAAGAATCCATTGACTTACCAAACACATCACATGTATACCAACGTGCATAAGGTGCATAGAGTATCCAGTCAGTAGAGATAGTTATCAGTACCTATATGTGATAATTCCACTAGATAAATCTCACAGACTCGACCGGCATCATCAACGCTACTTGGCAGGCATTAGATCGATGACCGATTTGGTGGTGGGCGTGTGCCTCCAGACTCTTCCATGCTGTCTCCCGCCCCCCCGCGCGCCCCCCCTTTTTTCTCCTCTGACCCCCTCCCATCATTTCAACGACGCAAAGCCGCATACAAAGACAAGCCACCGACTCTTGCTGTTGGCTGCTCCAGGCGCGTTGATTCGCCTCAACTGAAGCTCAACTGCACACTTATAGTACGTCACCTACATCTTACCGGGATCCAGGAAGTAAGTCCGTGGGAGCCCTTGTGCTTCGCGCGGGGCACACATTGGTGGTAACGCGAAGGCCATGCACAGCATCTCGTAACAAAATCTGCTGTGCCCCCCGTCGCCAACTAGCCAGGGCAACCAAAAGCATATGCAGCCCAAATCAGGATTTTGAGGGATACACAGGATGTCAGTTCGCATCTCGTGTGCCCACCGTCATTTAGCCCATTGTTGCTATTCTTATTCTTCCCCCCGTCTGCCCTGCAAAGCCAAGTTGCTGCTGCCGCTCATTCGATGCTTTTCCATGCAATTCGCCGTTTGCGGACATGAGTGTGCCCGAATGGCCTCCACAACGATTGGCAAGGTGACGAACGCACAGCACAGAAAATATGACGAGGACATTCGATGGGTGTCTCATAGCTGGACATGCATATGCAAGTATCGTATCGCAAGGCCACGGGTGCTGCCACCGTTACTCATACCCCCCCCTTCGATCTGGGTGGCATGTATTACCGAATGCTTTTTGTACGGAGAGTTGGAGTTGCAATGTCACGAGGAGAATGGAGCCAACAGCCGCAGAGCCGGCGAGTCGGGTCCGTTGGCCATTGTTACTTTAACTCCGTGCTGCCTGGGTTGATGGCCATGTGTGATCGTCTCCCCCAGACTTTATTCCCAAACACGCCCCCTTTCCCCCCCCCCCCCGCCTCTTTAAATCCCCCTGAACACTTGACTAACCTTTCGGAGTAATCGCCCATCGCCCCAAGGTAAATCCCCGATTCGAACATCTCGAAGTGACAACAGTCAAAGAGAGGCTCTAGGCAATGCAAGGAGTACATACGGGGTAAGCTCGACACTACTCCGAGAGGCATGGTTTGCAGGGTCAGGACCAGTCGCCATTGGCCACGCGACGGCTGCCACCCCCATCCAGCGAGTCGACCAATTGTCAAGACGAGAATCCTTGTATCGAGGTGCTGCACAAGCTGCGCGTTCACCTGTTAGCTCCCGCGTGGTTCTCCAGTCTTAGCTGGCGCGCATCGAGCCAGATGATGCAGGCTCTGCGTCGCGGAGACGCGGGCCTTCATGTACAAGGTCTGCTGGCCGTGGTGAGATCGCCTGACTGAGGCGAGTCAGGAAGGGGGGCGTGTAGATGTAGAGGCAGAGGCCCCAACGGCGGGCAGACTCGACTGTTGCAACCGGTGAAGAAAAGAATGCACAACAGCCCGCGCCTTCGATGACCGAATGGGCGCGTGTCGTCGAACGGCGAGAATCGAATTAAGGTTGTACAGGCCTATCGACTGATCAGCAGTCCCCAGCCATTATAGTGGCGGGCAGAAACGAGCTATGGGGCCGGTCCCCCTAGCCCTGGCCTATGGAAGCCGGGAGGAGCAGAAGCGTGGCTGTCCTGCAGGCGCTAATCTGCTAGCAAAGGTACGAAGTAGGTACCAGGGCCGAAGTGTTTAGGGGAGAGCTGACCACATGCAGCCGCTCGCGGTGTCGGTCTGAGCTGTCAGGGCTATGCTTTATACAGAAGATTGAGCATTGCTAGTCACTTCCGTATGGAGCACCTTGCTTCTTAGTCCTGAGAGTGTATCAACATTGCCCATCTTGGCTGTGTGCTTTTGCTCGTGGGCAAATTGGGCTGTTGCTGAGTCATGGTTGATGGAGCAGCCAAGGTAGTGAGAGGTGGTACACGCTGCCGATAGGTGGGAGACAATGGATCCTTGGTGTCCGTATTTTATTACATGTCAATTGCTATTTTGCACTTGAGCAGGTGTTGTGCGACGGGCAGGGATGGAGATGGGATTCCTCTCAGCGCTCAATGGGCCGCTGCTGGCCGAGTTGGAGAGCAGCAGGTCAATATGGTCCATGTCATATGGGATGCCACATGCGCACTCACTGCCGTCGCAGCATCTTATCGCCAGATTGAGCCATTGAGTGTGTACGGCCGGTCGCTTCTTGTCGCAACAGCAGCGGGAGAGGAAGGGGGGGCGTCTTTTCGAGCAGGCATATGTACCAAGGGCCAATTGATTGGATTGATGATCCGTCTGCCTGCTAGTGTTACGGAGAAGCAATTACCTGCTGTCCTGTACAGTCCAGCAACAGCAAGGAAGACAGACACAAGTCGGTGGAACGCAGCAAGGTTCGATGCTGGCGATGGATCCTTGGACCAGACACTAAGGCTAGTACCCTCTCAGCCGCTATTAAAGAAGTGGAGGCGGTAAGGGACCCTGCCTTGTCCTGTACCCGGACTTTGGTAGCACCCTTGGTTAAAAGGCGAGTCGTCAATTGTTTGCGACAGGCGAGCTACGGCAGAGTCCGGCATCTACTAATCTACTCATACTAGATATCTAAGTATCTGCCTGGCAGCTAGGCTGGACGCAATGGAGTGATGTCAAGGTATCTATGAGCTTGCAACCTCTACAGCCATCCAGAGCATCAAGCAACTCGTGTCCAAGGCGTGGAGTGTACATGTACTTGTGACTCTTGTCTCTGCAAGCATGCATGTACGAGCAGCATCGAACCTTTTAAGTTGTCACAACAAGACAGACAACTCAATTGATGCTGTAGACTAACACTGCTGCTCAAGACCCTTTGGTGCTAGTGCCAGCGAGAATCCGCCAAGATGCTTGCCGTACCTAGCTGCGCCGTTCTCCGTGTGCATCTTTTGTGGATAGCTCGGGAATCCTTGCTCCAGCCAGGCCAGGCCAGATAATTCCCATTGATCCATCCATTCAATGACTTGTGCAGGCTCCAGCGCTGATTCAGTCTATCGTTAGACGGAGAGAGGGAGTTTCCGTGAATACCGAGTAGAGCACCTACGTACGAGAGCACTCATATCACCTGTACAGGTACCAAGCATGTACTCGTGCTCATAAGTTCAAACTGTCCGTCTGTTCAATTAGTACTAATTGATGGATTACTGCAACGCTCAACTCGTCTTGTGCCCCGAATTAGCACCAACCGCGCCGCGGATTACATACGCCCGTCCTCTCCAGCCTGCCGCCTGACAGATCACCTTACACAGCAGCATCCAAGGCCCAGGCGCCGCTGTGCAGTTTCTTTCCCCCCACACCCCTCTCTGGCTCCGTCTTTTGCCTTTCTCCTCACTCACTCGTCGCTTTTTTTCCATTTTTTTTTTTGCTTCTGGTCGTCTCGTCACAACCGCTTCCAACGCCCACACCCCCAGCCACTCTTTTTTTTCTTCCCCTTCTCCTCTTTTGGTCCTGTCGCCTTCTTCTCCCCCGTTTGGGCCGCCCAACGTTGAGCGCCTGCGCCGGCCCCACCACACTGGCAACAGACATTGAACAGGGTCTGTCGAGACGACGCTTGCGAGATCTCCTGCTAGTACCAGCTCCAGCACCTCCCAGCCCAGCCCAGGACAGGACAGACCAGGACAGACACAGAACACACCGGCTGCACTGCTGCTGCACGGCGTGCCTGTACGTGGACGGTCCATCGAGCTGCTCTAGCCCAGCGATCCGGATAGGAGCTAGGGTTTGCTCGAATACCCTTGTCGGAGAGAAAAAAAAAACAATGTCAATAAAGTAAGCCTCCTTCGCGAGCCGCCGTCGTCCCGTCTCTTTTCTCTCGTTTCCCTTGTCCCCATCCTGCCGCATCTCTTGTTCACTGTCCCCTTCCATCTTTGTCGTCCGGTGCCTCCCAATCATTGCAGCTGGCGCGGCTTCAACGTCGCCTGGCTCGAGTCCTCCAGACTATTTAATTCCTCGTCACTCTCCTTCCTCTCTCGTCTCCCCCTTCTCTCTTCTTATTCTTGCCCGTCTTCGTCTGCCTTGCTATACAGGAGCAAGCTAGCTTCGTCTCCGGTCCTCTCTCTTCTGCTGAGCCTCTCCTTTACCTTGCCTTGCCTTGACTTGCCTACCTGTCCATATCCACCTCCTCCATCACGTCTGTTCCGCATCGTTTGCCTTTTGCTCGCCTGCCAGAAAGTTGTTCTGGTCAACGGCTTCCTTCTGCCCCGCTGTCGAGCCCAGAGGTTCATGGAACCATGTGCCTGGGCCCCGCCCCACGATGAACAATCCTCATGACTATCTTATCCCGAGCGCCACGAGCGCACCTCCCCCGCGGCCGATCGATCCTGACAATGCCGATAGTTGGGTAATGCTCAACCAGGGCGGATTCGTGAAGCTGCAGAATGAATCAATCCTGTACAAGCTCGATTCGCGCATATCATGCGAACTGTCTGTTCCCCCGGAGCTAAGAGCTCGCTGCGTCCCGTTCCAGCGCAAGAGTGACAAGGGGGCGCTTTTCCTAACCAGCAAGCGGGTTGGTGAAGCCTTTTAGAAACGACCCCGTATGGCCTGGGCGCCTGTATATGCTAATGTGCCTGGCAGATCATCTACCTCCCGGCAAAGCCAACCCAGGAGCCAAAGTTCGAATCCTTCAGCGCTCCCATCCTAAAGTTCCAAGACTCAACCACCTCCTCGTCCATGTGGTGGGGATGGGTTTGGAAATCAGATTGTATTCCCGTGTCAGGCGGTGGAATTCCGCCCGAGCTGCCTCGCGTTGAGGTCAAATTCACCTTCTCGGATGGCGGCATGATCGAGTTCAACGAGGCTTACATTGGCCTGCGAGAGCGTCTCTTCCAATGGCAGGAAATGCGCAGGGAGCTGGACGGCAGCGTTCCAGACGAACCTCTGCCTGCCTACGAGGCCGAGGGTGGCCGCCAGGAGCCGACGTCGTCGGACCAGCTCGCCGTCCCACCACCGAACCGCTCAGACAGCTCCGCGAGCCGCCGTGCTCCCAACGAGCCGCCGCCAAACTACGACGAGGCGCAAGCTCAGCAACTCAGTAACCGACTAGAAGACCACATTCGTGGCGAGGTGGACCGTGGTACCGAAGAAGAGTAGACGGAATAATTTGCGTGCTCCGTAGCGAAGCCAAGCCTGGGCGAAACGATTAATGAGACTACGAACAATCTCTGTTGTGATTTTGCGCTTGCTTCTCTGTGGAATGGACCAACTTGAACAGCTCGGTTTAGTCGCCGTAATATGTTGCTTTTGGATGGATTTGGATGGCGCCGGAAGTACAAGTACTATTATATTCGAACCATGGGTTTATTATTACAGATGGACAAGGGGGGTTATTAGAGCCCGCCAGGCCCTACAGTTGCAGGGTCTGGCTTGATGAAATGCCAGTTTTTGTTTTTGGGATTCACTACTTGAAGCCGTTGCATCTGTCCCACCCTTTGTGTGATATCGTCTCGTTGACGTTTCACTTTGCACACGGCGTCAGGTCCTCCGTTGTCCTGGCTGTGGATGTAAGGGGGTGATACAGCCCCCCAGCTGATCGGAGATCTTAAACCCCAGTCCTTGAGTGAGGATCAGCCAAAAAGGGCAACCCCAGCTCTGCCAATAACCTCCCGACGCTACCACAGCTAGCTTGCCTGGCTTTTGGCTGACAAAGATGAAAGTAATGTGACATATCCCGTGACTTTAGCCGGCCGGGTCGGGCCAATCAAAATGCCTCAATTCCGGATCAGCTTTTCGCGAATTTGACCGACAGCTCCCGATCTGCCAATACGCTCACCCAAAACCGTACGATACCGCACACGGAAACCGATCACACGGCGACATCACCACTCGCCAAACCATCGCAATGGGTATCTGGGACGCTTTCTCCGAGATTGTTGAGGCGGTGACGCCATGGAGTGTTGTGGAGGCCGAAGCTCCGGCTGAGGAACCCAAGGTAGGTGGGATGTGTGCGGCATGAAGGACCGAAAAAAAATACACTTGGGCAGCTCTGCAGCCATTTGGCCTCTGGTCTTTTCTATGGCAAAAACAGGATGAGCGGTCAAATGGCTCTGCGCTGTCGAAGTGTAGTCCCATTCCTGCATGAGAGCTCTGTTTTCAATGGATCTTGGGGCTGATTGACATCACAGGAGGCTCCCGAGGCCAGCGTAGAGGAGACCAAGGAAGAGCCCGAGGAGGAACCCGCCGCCGAGGAGGACGAGGAGGAAGAGGAAGAGGAGGACGAGGAGGAGATCAAGGACCCCAAGGAGGAGCTCGAGGAAGGTTCGTCAATTGCTTCCATCCCCGTCTTGTTCTTTTTTTGCGCAATGTCGTCTTTGAGAAGAAACCCGCGGCCGCGGTGCGGGGCGAGGCATTTCCGCTTTTCATTCGCATCCGGATGCTGGCGACAATTGTCTTTCTTATGGGCGCTATTTGCTGACACGGAGTGTTTTTCCAGAGTGCAAGAACTCTCCCCAGTGCTCCCCCGCCAAGCACCACTTCGACGAGTGCGTTGAGCGAGTCCACCAGCAGGAGAGCGAGGGCGAGGCCAAGGAGGATTGCGTCGAGGAGTGTACGTGGCTCACTCATATCCCCCCATTGTTTGTCATGGATCGCAAGAGTGCTGCACGGCGACTTAATCATTACAATTCATGACTCACAATTATTCTATGTTCTGATAACTGACTTGAGCTCTTTAGTCTTCCACCTTGCTCACTGCGCTACCGCATGCGCCGCCCCTAAGCTGTGGTCCAAGCTGAAATAAATGTTCCATGAAACAATATGAATCATACACCCGACGAAGCATGCCCGAAACCAAGGAAGGAGTTGAAGGAAGAAAAAAAAAAAGGGGGTGTCGACGTAGCGGGCAAAACGCTCAATTACCGTGTTGGGGGTATGCATGTTCATTATATGATCAACTCTTCCGATGGTCAACGACAACTACAGCAGCTTTTGCCATCTCGGCGGGACTGCCCTGTGTGTAATCTTACGCTCAGCGAGCCATGAAAATAGAATTTTTCTCTCTTGCTTGCCTTGGTCCAGCGTTCTTTTCTCTTACTTTGTGATGCTGATGTTACCTCTGCGATGCTAACCAGCTTCACGACAAACGCATGACCTCTATCGAGCTCGAATTTATATTATGATAAAGCGCAATATTGCTTTTGTGCTCATTGTCTACTTTGTGTCCCGTGCCAGCAAAGCTACATGATGGACTAATCCTTCATTTTTGCATAGACTCACTTTCCTGGTTGAGCTGATATGTTGATCTTACTGAGCTACCTTAGCAATCTTTGAAAAAGGCACTTCATCAAGTCGATTCCTTGATATGGCAATGAGGCCAAATTGAGCTCGTACTCGAAGTATACACTATACACCGTGATAATCTCAAACATTGATATTATATAAAGTGATTCGATCAACAAGAAGCTGGTTTCATAGATTAATCAGCTGAGAGGACCCCCATAAAATCTAATGGCATGAACATCAAAATATTCATTTTCCCCTATCATGTTACACCCGGCAGGCTTGTACTGCTCAGCCTCGTACCGTACAACCGTCGCCCCAATGCAATCTTCCGCCAGTTGGAAAAGAAAAAAAACAACACTCGCATCAGGCCAGAAGCAAACATCGAATGACCAAAGAAAAGAAAAGACTTCCAAAAAAAACGCCCGTTTGCTGCTGCTACTGCTCTCTCGTCGTAATGATCCGCTCGGTTTTCACAAAGAAATCGCGCCCCTTCTATTCTCTCGGACGTGGAGCATGCCCTGTAGACTGCAAAACACAAAGAATCCCTGAGCAAAATTAGCAAAAACCAGAACATTTTGAGCCACCCGGTTCGAAGTGTCGAGAGAAGAAACGCACGATGTAGACGAAGACGGCGGTGAAGACGGTGCGAGAGACGGCTTTGCCGTCGGTAGGGTCGTTGGTGCTGCCCATGAGCTGCTCGTGGTTGGAGCGGTAGAGGAGGGCGAGGACGCTGAGGATGATGATTGCGAAGAAGGAGATGACGGTGCTGCCGGGAATCACGAGGCAATCGTTAGCTTGAACTTCCTTCTAATAAAGTCTCTCGCTGTTCTCGGGTGCTGTTTCGCGAGAGGCATGCCGAAGAGTGTTTTGACGTACCACGACCAAGCTTGCATTGAACTAACGACGGGCTTCATGATGGGCGAATTGGGGGCGTGCGAGTTCAAACACGCGAAATCGGAAGACGGGAGGTATGATTCGGTGATTCGCCTTCGGAAGGAAGGAAAAAAGAAGCGAAGAAGAGCAAAAGGGAAAAAGAAGAACAAAAGAGCCTCGTGTAAAGCTCCGTAGTTTTGTTGTGTTCTCCGAGGCTGGCGAATATGCAGAGTTGCGTAGCTTCGAGATTCCAATGGCGCAACTACCTAGGTACCTACCACAGTTGATAGCACGGGAGCTACCCGACAATACGCCGGTGTAGTGCTGGAGGTGAGTTTGTGGCCTTGGATGTTAGGCGGCGAGGTTTCGGGGTGCTATACTGGACTCCGTTGGTAGGCGCGCGGAAATGGCGGCCGCAGGGCGCTGGGGCGCTTAAGAGATGGGCGAGGTACGTACTCGTGCGGTTGTATATAAGACCCCTTCGGAGACGCGGCACTTTGAAACGAGATGTTTTCTTTTAGCGGCGAATCTGCATGCGTCTGTTTGATCTACTGGGCTATTTTGATGTTTTCCTGCATTGGCCATGTTTCGTTTGGCCGCCTGTGAATAAACCGGAGAGAGGTAGAGGGTGAATGCTAGTAGGCTCTGATGGGGCTGAGAGGGATAGTGATGAATCCAGGTTTATTGTTGCACAAAATCCATGAAAAGCGTTGGAAGAGAATGGCTGTTAGCATGGCTTAGTGGCGAAGCTGCAATTGCTTGTTTCACAACGTGGACGAGGCGAGATGGTCGAAGTTGTGCGGCGAAATCCATCTTACACTGGTGTAAGTGCCGTTGCCAGCTCAAGGCGTGGTAGAGAGGCAACCTACATGTGCCCTCTCGCTCTAAGTAAACGGCAGCAGACCACATAGCCACCACTCACTCCTAGGTACATACTACAAAATACGACTCCCAGTATACAGTAGAGATGCACGGATTTATGCGGCTGCTGCTTGACTTACAACACGCATCCATCCCTGTCTAAAGGAAGCACTTTTAGGCTGAGCCGGCCCACCCAGTGTCGCATCACGGCTCGGCTGGCCGCCTATCAATCTCGTCCAGCCAGGGGGGGCTCCCTTGCGCAAATCTCGAGTCGCATCGGCTGCCCTCGCCCGCCCAACCAGCCGTCGTGGCCTCGCAACGTTTGGGGGCATGTACTGGTACTATTTTACGATGGCAGACAGGCTATGGGCGCAGACCGGAAGCCGGCAATCGAAAATGTATTTTTTTGCTGCGAATGGGTGTGAAACAATGGCAGTGCTGATGTGAGGCCTGGGAATATAAAAGGGAATGAATGGGTGGTAGATGTAACAACACCTTTGTGTTCCAATCCCTCTTTGTTGTTGTTGCTGCTGCTGCTGCAAGGTCCCTTTCTTTTCATTTCTTGTGTACGAGTGTGTGTTTCTGTGGGAGCCGGCTACCAACAGATTTGAACAAACGAACAGACAAACAAACAGTTCATATTTTCATTTCATTTTCGTCGAGAATATACCGGGTCATAGATCGGACCATTTGGGAGTATATCAAGGGCGCAAACAGCCCTGTTCATCGACCACGAAGCGAGAACGAGACCATCGATTGCTGTCGCACTTCGCTACAATCCCGCCTCAAAGTAACCTTGCCTGCCACTATTTGCTACCGAGGGTGGGAAGAGACGAAAGGGCTCGGACTCGAAAGTCAGGTACGTGCATGGATCTTGTCGGGATGGAGGATGGGATGCCCTGAATGTCTCGAGCAAGAGCTGTCTCTGAACTGTCTGCCCTTTGCCTCGCTTTGATGTTCATTCATGTTCTTCTTGCTGGTCTCCTTGTTCGTCTGTTTGTTCAGACATATAATTGCTTGGTGTTTCCCTGTTCGCCTGGCTGTTTTGCCACTTTCTTCTTTGTCTCTTCACTTATCGCATCATACTTATATGGCCAACAGCACCAAGTTATCCAAGTTATCCAAATTATCCCAATAATACTTGATATCATTCGTTACATTACCGAAAATCATCAACTTTCCCTCTCTTCACCTCTAAAATGCGAGCCTCTGGAATTTTTGCTATTCTTTCTCTCGCCGTGTCGAGCTGCGTCGCAGAGAAAGATGCCCCCGTCGTAACCGGCAATCCTCAAAGCGTCGAATACAAGGCCACTCTACCCAAAAAGCCCTTCTTCGCCGGCGCTGATCTGGCGGGCAACGTCAAGGGCTCTGTTTCCGCCGTGGCTGCTCCTGGCGGCAAGGGCGTCAGGTTCAGAGTCCAATTCGAAAACTTCCCCAAAAGCGGCGGCCCCTTTAGTGAGTTTTGTTTACTTCTTTTGCTGGCCTGGTCAAAGGTGATGCGACGGCCGTTATAGTTGCTAACCAAACCCCCTTGTATGCAGTGTACCACATCCACGAAGAGCCGGCTACCAATGGCAACTGTACGAGCACCCTGGCTCATCTGGACCCGTATCATCGCGGCGAGACGCCCGCTTGCGATGCTTCCAAGCCCGAGACTTGCCAGGTCGGTGATCTGAGTGGCAAGTACGGCAAGATCATCTCGGATCCCTTCGTGGCCGAGTACTTTGACCTCTACACCTCTCTTTCACCTGACAACCCGGCCTTCTTTGGCAACCGATCGATCGTCGTCCATTATGCGAACAAGACGCGGCTGACGTGCGCCAACTTTGCCAAGCTGCCAGTGTCGAGTGCTGCCACAAAGTCGCATACCGCCACCAGTGCTCATCATTCGGTCCATGGCCCCGTTACCACCGGTTCTCCTCATAATGTCACTGGTGCTCAGAACACCACAAGTCATCACCATCCCACGGGAACCCATTACACCACCGGCTCTCACCACACCACGAGTGTCTCTCCTACAGGTGCTGCCAGTCCAACTGGCGTCGTCACCATCACTTCGACCAGCTATGCTACCGTCCCTCCTGAGATCACTACAAGTGCCACGTCATCCATTGCTCCTTTCCCAGGAGCTGCTTCAGGTAATAGAGTATCCGTCTTCTCTTTGCTGAGTGGCGTTGTTGCTGTCATGTTCTTCTCCCTGTGAGACACTAGAAGGGATAGGCCTGGTAATGGAGTGAGTAGGTAGGGAGCTGAATATGGGCGTCTTTTCTCTTCTTTCCTCTTCTCATACACATTTAATGATAGACGAATTTTTTGCTTTTTTGAGCTGGCTCTTCAGGTAGATTCAGGTAGACATCCGAATTTCATTTCCCTTTTCAAACGGTTGGGGTGGGCACATGCTGCGAGTTTGTGGTTAGCGGGCAGCGGCTGAACAACAGCAAGCAGCAGGAAAAAGGAAAAAAGAATTCACTAATACATGGTTACATTTTTAATCTCCTTCTGCGTGCTTCATTGGTCTGTAAAGGCAGGGCAACTGTTAAAAATGAGGCTGATTGGCCTTGCAGCGCCCCCATGCAGGCAAACGATAACTGTCTGCCAATAGTTTCTTGTTATGCCCTTCTCCTTGCTTCCAAAGCGCACATGCAGTGACAGCTCATAAAACAGTAGCGAAGGCCCGCTTGTTTGGGCCGCTCAGAGGAGGAAAAGTGTACGAATGCCGGTTGTAAGAATTATAAATTGGGCTGGCTCCAAGTTGCTGAACAGCCCAGGCACAAATATGAGATGAAATGAGGAGAGAAATCAAAAGTGTTCAGACTATTGTGAACCAAGGTGAGCTCAAACTTAATCGCAACTCAAAAGGTTAGCTTCACGTGATTGGGATTCCGACCACTGGCAGCCACCACCGGCACCTGCATTTGGCACTGTCATCATAGCAACTTTTTTTTTCTTTCTTTGTTTTTCCCTTCTGAATTTCTGTTGTAAAAATTCTGGGATTGGAGCCTCTATTGCAACACACATGATCCTTTAGCCTTTTTCTCTCCTCATTATTTTTTTTTCTCTCCCTGCTAATAGCTTTAATCCAACACCAGCATCCTCTTTCTAGCATCGCCAATCGGTTCTTGTCGATCTCTTCCTAGCTACTCCACCACCCCACGTCTTGTTGACTTTCTGCCGTCCATCGGAGATTGTACGAGGCACTCGATCATGCCAAGGAGGTAGAACTTCCGGGGCCCTCAAAAAACATCATCATGGCGAAGAAGAAGGTGAGACAGACATTGGTTGAAGAGGCTTCGCTGGACAGTGGGAGTGCAAGTCAACCGTCTGTGCCATCGGCCACGGCGCAAGCGTCTCAGGCATCGTCAAGTTCAGGTCCTAAACCGAGATCTAGAATTTCCCATGCGGCTCCAACGACGGCCATTTCACCCTCGCTCGTCATCTGTCGCAACAAGTATGTGTATGGCAATCCGTTTTTTATATGATTTTACCATCGTTTGTTTTTGGCAAGCTCTTTCGCTGACCTTGATCTGAAACATAGGCACTGGCGCCACATCTCTGCGTATCACGGACCGTGGCTGCAAATGCCCTTTGAGCTGCTCGAGACCCTTGCCAACATCAATTACAACACTCCCGCGCCGCGGCCCATCGATGCTGCCTCCTTCTTCGATCTCGTCAAGGTGCGACGGCTTGTCGACGAGGCCACCAATCTTGCTGTGAGGGCTGCTAGCGACATCGCCTCACCAACGCTGACCAACGTCAATGGTGGCTTCCCGAGCATATCGTCAGCCATGGGCTCGCATGGGCTAGGTGCGCCGCCAGTCCATGGCGGGAAACTGAGCAGAGAGCGCAAATTCCGAATGAGAGAGCAGGCCAGCCAGAAGCTGGGACGGGCGTATCGCTTGGACGAAATCGCCTGCAGCGTTGCGACGATGCAGGGCGCCTCGCCGCTGGAGGATGTGGGCAGCCTTGTGCTGCAGCGCAGCCCCAAGGATTCCGACGCCAAATATGTGCACTTTTTCCATGAAAAGATACCGTCAAGGAAAATGGCCGAATCGACGAGCTTGCAGCCTCTGACGGATATCATTGAGGACCGGCCCACAGAACCAGAGGTGCTGCGAACTCGCGCAACTGTCAAGATATTCAAGGAAGATTTTGACGGTGCCATTTTCGATTTGACACATGCTCTGTCTATATCGCAATTCATTCGCAGGTCTCATGGTCCCAACCAGGAGGAGATGCAAGTTGGGGAGGCGCAACGCACAGCTAGGAGACGGCCCCATGATATCATCTTGTCAGAGAAGGATCAACCTAGCAGCTTTGAAGCGCAGCTATACTTCCAGAGAGCATCGGTGTATCTAACAATGGCCACCGAACATGTTCTGGACAGCATACCAACACCGCCATCTAATCAGGCCAATGAGCAATCTATGGCTAGCGAAGCAGACGATGGCGATGCGGGAGCAGAGGCCAGCGGCAAAAGCTCTCCCGAGCCAAACAAGGAGGGCGCGCGAAAGCAGGCCGAGGCGCGGAAATTGGTCAAGACATTTGCTAAGCGCGCCATCAAGGACTTCCTTTCATTCATCTCACACTTTGATTATTCACCCAATCTCCCCGCCAAAGCAGCCAAGGAGTTTAACGATCGTGTTAACCTAGTCGCGCACGGCATGCGCAGCTCAAGGGCCATTGACTCGAGCAGTTGGACAGAGTCACACACAGTCTACCCCTTATCTGACCTCTTTCGCTCTGTTCCCCCTACCGATCTCCCGCCGTATCCATCTCAGGCCGTGGTGAAGCACGACTCATACCAGTCTCCAAAAGAGCTGTTATCGACGAAAGCAGCTGCTGTATGCGAGTGTGTGACATATCACCCGTTACTCGCCGACGCATTGCACTCTCTTCTCCTTGCCCATTGCCTCGCCCAGACCTCCACCAAAGAGATCCAACGGCATGCTTACATGGTTGCTCGTCTTATCAGGCTTGCCGACGGGTATCCCATCTTTCAAGCGAACCGGTCTCCTGCGCGAGCCGATTGGGCAGAGGTCATCCATCGTACTGAAAACTGGCTTTCCCTCAGTTCCTCGTGGGACACGCTGTGTTCCCCTGCTCCACTGCCCATATACGACGATGAGCCATGCTGTGGCCATCATACATGTATTCACTCTCACCAGGCCCAGACAGCTGTGATTTCGGCTGGCAGGGCCGCTTCTGCTGCAGCAGCACTTATCAACGGCATGTCCTCTGACGCTGCCGGCGAAGAAGAAAAGCGGCGGAGAGAGCTCATACGCGAGCAAGCGATATTGGATGCTCTTGATGATGAGCGCGTTACTGACGAAGCATCATTCCGCGCAGCCATCGAAGCCCACGAGAAGCGTGCTCAGCGGAATGACGCTGTCATTTCAGGCAAGCCTTCCAATGGCACCGCTACCACGCCTAGACCAAGCCCGGGAACAAGCATAAGTCCAAACGGTCCAGACGCCTTGAATGGCACAAATGGCACAAATGGCACAAATGGCACAAATGGCACAAATGGCACAGACAAGCCGATGCATGTATGGGTGGCCGAAGATCTCAAAGAGGATGCTACTGACACTGATATCACGTCGCGCCGCTGGTCTGCCGATGACGGTAGAGACTACCCCCTCATGACAGACCGCGCCAGTGCAATTGCGCGATGGGTGCAAGAAGCTCCCGTTGTTACGGGCACGGCAAAACGCAAGAAGCGCACCAAGAAGACAGGGGCCGCTGGCGAAGGCGCCAATACGAGAGTCGATGAAGCTGGAGAGGGATTGGAGAAGCTTGAAATTTAGGCCTTGGGCCATGATTTGTTTGACTTGTTGCTGTGGGCACGCAGCTAGATGTGATTTATTGAGGCAACTTACTTTGTCACATATGTTTTATGAGGTATCAACACGGCAGCAGGAAGGCATGTCTGCCATATGACTACGGAGTATAGGAAGGGAAACGGGAAGGATTACACAAAATGTTGCACAAGGGCTCAGATATGTAGGCTTGCATTGATGCAATGTATGGGATTCATAGTGATCATATATACATGGTAGTGAGGAAAAGGGTTGAATGATAGAAACCATTCTGCAGCTGAGAAATTCCCCCTTTGTTTGTTCATGAGCCATCACCGAGTATACCACGATAGGAGTCGTTAATCTTTCTTCAAGTCGTCATGCGTATTATTGTTATTACTCTTTCAAAGAGCTCAAGTCATCGAATCGCAATAAGCGATATCCCCTACGACAGTCGATCAGTTACCTTCATCTCGTCCATATCCCAACACCAAATCCACATACCCAAAAAACAAGAACACCAGTACTAATCAGTCACTTCATCACCGTTGTAGATTCACGTATCCCCTCTTCAAACGAATTCTCTCATCAACCAACAAGCGTAACCTCTTCATCACGCCCGTCCTATTCGGCCTCGCAAAGTCTTCCCTAGGCTGTGCTGTATTCTGGACAGACGTGCTCCTATTTGACGTGGAGAGTCTTCGCTTGACGGATGACGAGAACGGGAGAGTCGTTACGAAGTCGTTGTATTCGTCTACGTTGTGGATCGGGACGATGAATCCCGGGTATGACAATCCGATCATACTGCCTGTCTGTTGGTTGATATTGACGTTTTCTTGAATTTCTCTTTAGGATATGATAACGCTGTGAATTCCTTCGCTCTATTCAAACGAACTGGGTTCTTGAATGCCATATAAGTATAAGTGGAAGAGAGAGAAATCAGCAAGATGGCCTTGGAACATGTCAGAAAAGACATAGTCTCCATTCCGGCATGCCATTCCAAGCCATCGACAACGCCTCATCTAGCTAAGCATCACCCAGCTGACAGACCCAACCCCATCAACATAGCAAAGTATAACCCTCGTCCATGGCATAGCTTATAAACAAAGGGTTGCTTGTACTGAGGGTGTATTCCTTGTCCATTGAGTCTCAAGGAGGGCTCTTGTTTTCGTGTCGTCACAATATATAAATGCATTTATTTTATAGTAGAATGTAATGAATACTGCTCCGTCATTAACTCGTGACAATGAATGGCATGAAAGCTTGTCAATCAGCCGTCTTGGAACCATCAGCCGCCACGCGCTAAATCCAGCCATAGGTATGCAACAGTATCATTCCAAAAGCTAGAGTCGTGAGACTCTCCAACACGCAAAGAGAACAAACCAATGCAAGGAGAAAAGAGCTACTG